GACGGTCCGCGGAACGGACCGCAATTGTGCCCATAATTATGAAAGTGGTCTAAGTCAAAATTAAAAAAAAAAAAATGAGTATCAGTTATTTCACGCCATATTATTTCAAACGAAATTAATTCAATGTAATTTCGAAACAAAAAATATATGACTTAGACCACTTTCATAATTATGGGCACAATTATCGGGATCCGGTATCGGTGAACGTAAGATTGAAAAAATTGCTCAGCGACGAGGGTGGAGAAGAGACGGACTCGCGGGATGAAAATAGGGAAAAAAGGAAGCGAGAGGGTAAAAGGAGCGACGTTACAAGCGCATAAGGAAGCAAAGGTCCGCTCAAAGACGAACTCTCGGGAGGGAAAGAATCGACGAATTTCCCCGAGCGAGCGAGAATTGTGGGCGTCGCGACTTCTCGGCGCGCGTGCCTTTGATGTCTTTCGCGCCATTTGTCCGTTCCTCGTTTTCCGTCATTTTCTGGTCCCGTCGCGTCGTCTCGATTCCCATCTTTCCCGGAGACAAAAAACATCCGCGGGAAGTCAATCCTAGCCCGGAAGGTTTCCGGGACGCTCCCAAAAAGACCGGAAGCTTCCAGGACTCTTCCGATGGTTGGCGGTCGGTATTAACCTTCGAGTTTCTTCCCCCGTTTCGAGACACCCGAGATTTGTTCCACTGTGCTTCTCTGGAGTTCTCTCATCGACCCTCGTCGAGACGATTCGAATCCATCGGGGCTTGATGCTGGTTCGAGGCGAAAACGCGGATCTATCCGCCGATCAGCAGCCAAGGGAGGACCACGGTCACGCAGATGGCTGCCAAACAGCTGGCGCACATCGCCAAGGGACTCGCGGCGGCTTCCGGTTCCGAGTCCACGTAGTACTCCTCGTCCCTCTCGAACTCGCGAACTTCCACGTCGCACCGGAAACACACGCGAGCCGCTTTCAGGTGCGAGCTGTCCCTCCTCAAGAAAAGGGCCGATCCCTTCCGGTCCAACTTCCACCCGGGCTCCTGCAACAGCATCCGATTCATCTTCGAAGAAGGACTACTCGTCCAAGCTCGACGATCACTCGGCAACGCGGAAAGTAGTCGGGACCCTCGGGATGTCCCGCGGAATTCCCTCCGCTTGTACGTGACGACGGAATCGGGCCCTTCGGCTTTTCCTGGTCCGCTTCAACCTGAAATAGAAAATCGAAATTAGAACGATTACGTCGGGGATTTGGAAGAGCGCCTGGCGAGGAAGACTGGTTATTAAATTCCCGAAGGAGTTCAATTTGTCCCGGGCAGAATGCAGGATCTTTTACTCCGAGGAGAAGAGGCTAGGATTGAGTCATGCGACCGAATGACCCCGGAGGAAATAATCGGTGAACTCTCCGGAGACGCAGAAGAGGCGATGGAGATGTTATTGGTGGGCAGGAAAAATATTATGCAAAAGAGGAGATTATCCATCGGCACGGGTTAAAGAGAGACTCCTGCAGATGAGGTTGTGGACCTTCTGACCTCGGCGGACACGTGGAACGAGGAGTTACAATTGTCGCGATAATTTCAATTCGTTCTGACGCATCGACCGTCATCGTTCCCGGCCCTCCCGGTTCTCGAAAACATCCGTAATTTATGCTCCTCTGACGCGTTTGCCCGCGCTTATTGGTCCGCGAGCGAGTGATGGATCGGAGTCGTTAAAATTTTTCTCCACGCTTCCGGGATAAATCACGGCCGCGTTGTTGCACCGACGCGACTCCAGATAGGAGAAGCGGGACGAACTGCGCGGAAGAAAATTAACTATCGCGCCGTTGGGAGAGAGAAAAATGGCCGAATTCCGCAGCCGCGGAGCCCTCCCACCCCGGGAATAAAATTTATTCCAATATTCGAGAAAATGGAGGCTGTTGACGCTTCCCGGGGTTCGTTTCCAAGGAGAGGTCGCCCCCGCCGAAGGAGCTCGGGTTTCCTCGAGGGTCCTTAATTCCGATTTCCCCGAGAAACAAGGGTACCCGACGCGAGGTGGAAACGTCCTGAAACAAAGGCGACACAAAGAACCGGCTAGAAAACGTAAATGAAAGGGACGGGAGTTAAGGCCGAGTGCTGACAAAAGGGAAGTGGTCCAAACGCGTCACTCCGAAAGGATATCATTAGGAATGCGCCCCCTGATAAAAGCGAGGACGAGCCGCTCCCAATTCGAGAAGGTATCTTGCGGAATTATGGAGCACCTCGGGGCGACGTAGTCGCGCATTGGAAATTCAAATTTCTGCCATTAGGACAATAGGACCCGACCCGCGGGCACCATTAATTTTTCCCGAAAAATATCCGAACGAGCCCCCCCGGCAGGGATTTATTTCTCCCGGTTTTTCGCATCTAGGGTCTCGCAAATCACTTCCGGGGAGACTTTCGGATACCTCGCGGGAAATTATTAAATTATTTAACCCGACTTGCGTTTCCGTCTCCCTAGCAAACGTCTCGACGAAGACGTGCACTCGGATCTTTTCCTCGGTTGACGATCTTGGAAACGAAAGTCTCCAACTTTAGGACATCCGAGAAAAGCGAAAATCGCGTGAGAAGCGGCGATATGCGAGCGGTGCCGGCCGATAAATCCTCCGGGACCGTAATCGAGGTGTAACGATATCATCGGGGAATAGGTACGTGTCGGGCGTTCGTTACATCCCGCGAATGGATTTTTCCCTACCGGCCGGATGATCGATGACCACGGTGATAAAAGTACGACTGACAAGCCCAGCGTGTGGGTACAACTAAAACCTCCGAGGGATTCCGTCAAATGTATTATCACGAAGTTACGGCATTTAATCGCGCGGCTCCCATCCCGAAAAAAGTTGCTAATTAAATCCAGCTTTCCATGCCCGGGGGAGGCCGCGACGCGGCTTTCCTTTCCGCATCGACCGACCGCGGGATTTCCCCGGGAATAATCGTATTTTCCTATAAATATACGGTCCACCTCTGAGCGCGATACAGAGGCCGAACAAAGCCGGGGATCGTCTCCCCCTTACCTATCCGCTGTCGCCGTCTAGCGATACAATTATTTTCCAAACCTCGAGCCGGCGCCATTAGCCGCGCCATTATCGACGGTTTTCCCGCGGCAAAGTTTATCGCCCGCCGTTTATCGAGCCCGACGGAAACCAAAGAGTCCCCGGGAGGTCCGCTTTATGGCATCCCGGCGAGGCCGGGGTGGGAATTAATTGGAGCAACTTCGACGGGTCCGAGCGGGGGGGGGGCGTTCCAGGGACGTTTACGCAGGTCGCCGTTGGCGGAAGTTTATCCCTTGATCGGGTCTATTCGGTGCACGCGTCGCCCCCGGTGCAGGAAACCGGAGGAGGTCGACCGCACCGACGTCGAGCACCGTCGGCGTTTCGGAGATATCGGGACTACCGATCGCCACCGGTCAAACGATTCTAGCCCCGGCTCGAGCATCCCTCGAGGGATGGAAATCGTTCCCACCCTTTGAGGTGCTCCCCATTATCCCCACGTAGAGACCACCTCTCGGCGGGTTGCATCGGCGCATCGACGCGTCGCCGCGGCGTATGCGCCACCCTTCGGAAACGGCCGCGTAAACATCCGCTTACCACCGCGAATCTCCTTCCGTGCGATTTGGCCGCACCCTCCGATCCGCCTAGGTTCTCCGGTCATTAAGCAGAACCCCGGGAATTTGATCCTTTATTCCGATTATCCCTCCCGTCAGCCGTCGCCGTTCGCGTCCCACCCTCGACGCCACCCACAGGGAGCGAGGTAAAGTCGGCAACGACGCAGAAAAAAAAAAAAAGAAAGGAATTATGGGGCAGAACCGACCCACATTAGAGGGAGGAAAAACATCGAGGAAGTAGGAAAATCGAGCGGTTTTTGTTAAACTCCCCGAAACGGCGCCCGATTCGAGGGCGCATCCATTTGTCATCCGCGATCCGCCTCTTCTGCCGCCCTCCGCGATAAGACTTCCAATTTCGACGTTTCCCCGCGCAAAAACCCGAAGGAACATCCGTCTCGTTCCAGGATTTATACCTCGTAGCTCGATAGGAACGCTCCCCGGGCCAGGGCGGCTCGGTACCAGCGGGGAACCCGGCGCTGTTTAGCGCACCGCGGTGTCGGGTGGCGCAATCGCGTTATCGCGCCGACTAGAGCCGCGCGAGCGACTTCGCCGCCGAGGTCCACCTCGTAAACGGAATTTAAACGGAATTGCCAATCGAACCGATAAGACCCCAGATCCGGCGCGGAGGGCAAGGGAAGGAAAGGGAAACGCATCCGGCGGAATCGAGGCTCGCAAAAAGTCCGGCCATCGTTCCAAAAGTCTGCCTTATCGCGCGGAGGGGGGAGGGGAAATCGATTCCGCGGTATGCACAGCCCGATCATGCCCCGATAAAATCCTAGGAATCTCGTCACGCGGATATTAATCCGATTACCGGACTACGTATCGGTGTCTCGGTTATCCGGCGAGCAGCCGTGGGGCTCCCCTTTTCGAAATTTATGGAAAGTCTCGGGACTTCACCCTTCCGCCGGAGTTTCGCGCGAGAGCCGGGGAGGAGCTTTTCATTTCGCCGGCGAAGTTTGTCGCCGCTTTCGGCCTCCCCGGGTGGCGGGGGCGTTTTCCGCGCCGAGATTTCCGAGCCTGGTCGGGTCGTTAAACGCGAAACGCAGATCAGAGAATCGGGTCCCGCGAGCGTTTAAAGCTCTCGCGAGATATGCGCGGCATTCGGCCGATAAGTCTAATCAGCGTCCGCGTTAAGGGGATGGACTTCGAGCTCGGAAGTGCCATTGGCTTCGACTTCGCCTTGGGGCGGATGCATCGAGGCGTATCTCTCTCTCGATGTAAACACTGGCCGACCGCCAAACAAAGGAGGCCTACTTCCTGGTCCGTGTAATTTTTTTTTTTCTTCTCTATCTTTTTCCCTCGACGTTGGTTAAAACAACGATCATTCTCCGGCGAGGCGGTTCCGCAGGTTCGGGGGGAAAAACGGGGCGCGGCGGTGCTCGCGGCGTTGATAACGGGTATCATTATGCGCGCCGGATATACCTGGCCCGTTTAATTGCCGGAGGGCCGATTCGTTGCAACGCCGTTGGCGTGCCGCCCTCTAACGAGCGAACGCGGGGGTGTAAAAAATGACGGCCGTTCCCCTAATTACGCGCCCGAGGAATTGGACGACGATCATTGTTCGATTCCTTCGAGCCGATCTCCGGGAGGCGAGGAACGAAACGTCAGGTTGGGACGAAACGACCGTTTGTTTATGTATGTAAAGCTGGAATTGCCACTTTAGCTCAATTCAATAAGATTTGTTGCAAAATTTATTGCTAATTCATTGCTATTTTATTGCACGAGAAAACAATTTGTTGCTCCTATACTTTTCCGAAAAATGGTGGCGATGTCAGCTTTATATAAAGCTAGCACTGCCACAATAATAAACAATTATTAAGTAAATGTTCATCGAGGAATTATATGCAAGAATTTATTGCTAATTAATTCCTCGCAGAAAAACCAAATTTCAATTTTTTTCCTCACCCCTAAAGGGATGAATCGCCAACCCTAGTGCTGATCGCAGGACAGAAGGATGAAAAACATGGGAGAATCGAACTATTTCTTCACGTGGAAATTAATTGCTCCGAGAAGAACCAATATCTTAGTAAAAATACAATTTTCAAAGCTACATTAATTAGCGATTAATTCCCACGTGAACAAATAGTTCGATTCTTCCATGTTTTTCATGTTTCTGTCCTTTAGGGGTGAGGAAAAAAATTGAAATTCGCTTTTTCTGCGAGCAATTAATTAGCAATAAATTCTGGTATACAATTCATCGATGAATATTTACTTAATAATTGTTTTTTATTGTGGCAGTGTTAGGTTTATATAAAGCTGACATCGCCACCATTTTTCGGAAAAGTATAGGAGCAAAAAATTCTTCTCTTGTGCAATAAAATAGCAATGAATTAACAATAAACTTTGCAAGAAATTTTATTGAATTGTGCCAAAGTGGCAATTCCAGCTTTATATACATCGTTTGTTTTAACGATCGGCGCACCGCTGGTTACCGTCGCCACTTGTCGCGCCGAGTGCCCTCCGACTCCGATTGATCGCGGCTCCGCAAACAAGTGACTCGACGTGGATAGGAACCGTCCACGAGAGGATTTCCTCGTGGCCGGGAACTCGAAACAAAGGACCGTGGAATTCGATGCAAGGTTCACGGTAGCC